TTTTGATGAAGTGACAAAGATGATCGATGTGGCTAGGGCGGTGGATGTTGTCTATATGGACTTCAGTAAGGCCTTTGACAAGGTCCCTCATGGCAGGCTGATACAGAAGGTAAAGTCGCACGGGGTCAGAGGTGAGCTTGCAAGATGGATAAAAACTGGCTTGGTCATAGAAGACAGAGGGTAGCAGTGGAAGGGTGTGTTTCTGAATGGAGGGCAGTGACTAATGGTGTTCCTCAGGTATCAGTGTTGGGACCTTTGCTATTTGTAATATATATAAAGGATTTGGAGAAGAATGTAACTGGTCTGATTAGTAAGTTTGCTAATGACACAAAGGTTGCTGGAATTGTGGATAGCGATAAGGACCGTCAAAGGATACAGCAGGATATAGATCAGTTGGTGACTTGAGCAGAGAGATGGCAGATGGAGTTTAACCCAGAAAAATGTGAGTAAATGCTTTTTGGAAGGTCTAATGCAGATGGAAAATATGCAGTAAATAGCAGAACCCTTCAGAGTACTGATAGGCAGAGGGATGTGCGTGTACAGGTACACAGGTCACTGAAAGTGGCAACGCAGGTGGAAAAGGTAGTCAACAAGGCATATGGCATGCTTGCTTTCATTGGCTGAGTTTAAAATTTGGCAGGTAATGTTGCAGCTTTATAGAACCTTAGTTAGGCCGCATTTGAAATTCTGGTTACCACACTACCAGAAGGATGTGGTGGCTTTGGAGAGGGTACAGAAAAGATTTACCAGGGTGTTGCCTGGTATGGAGGGCATTAACTATGAGGAGAGGTTGGAGAAACATGGGTTGTTCTCACTGGAACGATGGAGGTTGAGGGGCGACATGATAGAGGTCTACAGGATTATGAAGGGCATGGACAAAGTGGACAGTCAGAAGCTTTTTCCCAGGGTAGAAGAGTCAGTTACCAGGGGTCATGCGTTTAAGGTGATAGGGGCAAGGTTTAAAGGTGATGTATGAGGCAAGTTTTTTACACAGAGTTTGGTGGGTGCCTGGAACTCACTGCATGGGGAGGTAGTGGAAGCACATACTACAGTGACTTTTAAAGGGTGTCTTGACAAAGATATGAATAGGATGGGAATAGAGGGCCCTTCTTCATTTTCTGAAGAAGGGTCTAGACCCGAAATGTTAGCTTTCCTGCTCCTCTGATGCTGCCTGGCCTGCTGTGTTCATCCAGTTCTACACCTTGTTATCTCAGATTCTCCAGCATCGGCAGTTCCTACTATCTCTGTGAATAGAAGGATATGGTCCCTGGAATGGTAGGGGGTATTAGTTGTGATGGGCAGCATGTCAGTGCAGGCTTGAAGGGCCTGTTCCTGTACTGTAATTTTCTTTGTTCTTTGTTATATTATGTCAGAAGACTCATCACTGAGGAACATAAAGCCAATGAGCACAAGCTTTTTAAAGATGTAAGCTTGAAGGACAATCTTGAAAAGGAGAGAGACTCAGTGAGGTATATGGAGAGAATTGCAGACTATATGGCCTAAGGTCTCGGTCAGTAATATATCAAAAGAACGATTCAGATGCTGCTTAACCTGATGAGTGTTTCAACATTTTCTGTTTTACTTCAGATTTACAATATTTTTGCTTCTGCACTTGTTCTCAGGAATCAAAGCATTTGGGGAGAAAATGGGAACAGTTGAGTTGTACGTCCATATAATGCTTCCTTCAGTACTTTATCACCCAGCTCCGCCTCCCATTTATAGCTTGTGCAAACATTGGCTTTAATGTTGGGTTTTAGTAATAATCCAACAGTTTAGATCATAGTTTTTCTCCCCAGGTATTGGCTCCATGAATGGTCAGGTGAATTTCTCTCAATTTCACAACCTGTGAGTGTTATTCTGCTTTCTTTCTCTCTCAACTGTTTTTAATTTCCTGTTTGAAAGGTTGATTTGTCATTATAGGATTCAGATGAAACACATCCAGCTTTGACAGTCATTCTGTTTATCAGAACCTGTTTATCAAAGGAATTTGAAGAGGAAACAGTAGCATTCACACTGGGCAGAAACACGCCTACATTGTATCCGTAACAGTCTGCAAGCATTTATCTAAAATGTCGAAACACCAGCACAGTCGCACGAGAGAGAGACTCTGGAAAAATGTGGACTGCCTGAAGGGAACTCTTTCCCCATCCCAACTGGAAATTCACCAACACAGTAACAATAGGAAGAAGCTGTTCACTGTTCTGAATGGAGAAAGGGATTCACTCAATCATGCAGCCTGCTGAGACACCACCGAGTTCACACTGGGGAGAAACCATTTACATGCTCCAAGTGTGACATGGGATTCACTCGGTCATCCCACTTGCTGAAACAACAGGTTGTTCACACTGGAGAGAGACCATTCACTTGCATCATGTGTGGGAATGGATTCACAGAGTCATATGAACTGCTGAGACACCAGCGGGTTCACACTGGAAAGAAACCATTCACTTGCTCTGTGTGTGGGAAGGGATTCACTCAGTCATTCAACCTGCTGAAACACCAGTGAATTCAACAATAAACACAGTTGAAGGATTTTGTTTCTCTCTTCTTCCCACCATGGAATGAGCTTTGATCTTGAGCAGTTGAAATATTAATAAAATTGTCTATCTGGAGGACTTGGTTTCGAAAATGATCACATCATTGAATGTGCACACATTCGCATTGGGTAGACACTGTCCATCTGCACAGTGTGTGGACAAGTATTTTCTGGTTTATCAGGACTGGTTAATCATATACTCTGGGGTCTGTTTCTGATGATGTTTGGAAAGACCATGAGTCTGGTTATCTTTTGGGGATTTAAAAAAAAACACAATATTGAATAGCTTTCACTTAAATGCATGACAATCAATATTAATTGATATTAATTTCAATATCTCAGATATTAGTTTCTTTTGAAGGGCTCTCCATTTTACCACTTCCTCCATCCTCACCTGCAACAAGTTTGATGATCTCATGAAATTTCTTAGTGACTAAGAATGAGACAATCTGATCAGCTACCTCTGCTGCTTCCTTCTCTACCGCTATGTCAAGCTGTCTCTTAAACTCCCCTTGCTGCAATTGTGATCTTACATCATTGTAAAGTCTTGGCCTAGCATTGCATGTAGCTTCTTGCATAAAGGGCCTACAGTGTATGAGGTTAGCTCTTTCTTTCCATCAGCAGCAGTAGAATCGTGCTGTAACAAAATTTGCAAAATCATGGCCTGGCATAATCCCCAACTTGCCGATTACCATCAAGCCAGAGAATCGACTCTGGTTCAATTGAGAATTCAGGAGGGCATGTCAAGAACTGCAGCATGACTAGCTAAAAATGAGATGATGTGGAGGTGCCGGGGTTGGACGAGGGTCAGAAGTCAGATGACACCAGGTTATAGTTCAACAGGTTTATTTGAGATCACAAGCATTTGGAGCATTGCCCCTTTGTCAGTTGAAGTGAAAAATGAGATGTCAACCTGTTGAAGTTACCAAAGAAGACTACTTGCATACTAAACAGCACAAGCAGCAAATTTGATGAAAAACAGGACAGATCTAGGACGTGCAGTCCAGCCACATCCAATTGTGAATGGTGGTAGACAATTGGAATACTTACTGGAGGAGAAGGCTCAACAAATATCCCCATCCTCAATGATGGAGCACTGCACATCAGTGCAAATGATATGTTTAAACCATGCACAACAACCTTCACCCAAAAGTGCTGAGTGGGCGATTCATATCAGCTTCCCCAGCATTACAAATGCCAGTTTTCAGCCAATTCAATTCACTCCACGTGATATCATGAAATGGCTGCAGGCAGTGGATACTGTCCTCACAACATTCTGTCAATAGTACTGCAGGCTTGTGCTCCAGAATTTGCTGCTCCCCAGGCCAATCTGTTGCAGTGCAGCTACAACACTGGCATCTACACAACAATGTGAAACATTGCCCAGGTATGCCCTTCACATATAAAACAGGACAAATCCAATGTTGCCCATTATTACCTCATCAGTCTGCCTCTTGATCATCACCATACTAATGGAACATGTCATCAACAGTGCTCACAAGCAACGCTTGTTTAGCAATAACATCCTTACTGATGCCCAGTTTGGATTCCATTAGGGCTGATCAGTTCCTGATCACGTTACAGCCTTAGTTCAACCATGGACAAAACAGCTGAATTCCAGAAGTGGGGTGAGAGTGACATCCCTTGACATCAAGATTGCATTTGATTGAGTTTGGCATCAAACATCCCGAGAATAACCGGAATTAATGGAAAGTGGGGGAGTGTTCTTTGCTTGTTGAAGTCATACCTGGCACAGAGGAAAATGGTTGTCATTGTTGAAGGTCAGTTGTCTAATCATCTTCAGTTGCCTCGTCAATGACGTTCCCTCCATTATAAGGTCGGAAGTGGGGTTGTTCACTAATGATTGCACAATGATTACCTTAATTTGTGACTTTTCATGTACTGAAGCAGTTTGTGTTCAAATGCAACAAGACCAGGTCAATATGAAGTGTCGAGTAACATTCACGCTGCACAAATGCCAGGCAATGACATTCTCCAACAAGGGACAATCTAACCATCAACCTTTAGTATTGAATGTGGTTAGCATCAGTGAATTCCCTCGTGTTAATATCGTCGGGAGTTCTATTGACAAGAAACCCAACTGGATTCGCCATTCAACTGCAGCAGCCATAATAACAAGTCAGAGCCTAGGAATACAATAGCAACTAACTCACTCCCGACTCCCCATCATCTAAAAGGCAAAAGGTAGGAGTACGATGGAATACTCCCCACTTGCCCGGATGGGTGTGATTCTCACAAACTCTGGCTCGAGTCTGGAGCTGGTTGCCCTGGAAACCTTGCCTCGAGGTGGGGAAAGGAAACAATGGGTGGGGGCGGGGCTACCGTGTCCGCGCTTCTGACAGGCTGCCTGGAAACCGTGAACGTCACCGCCGAACCTAGCGATTCCTATTGGCTGCTTCAGGCAGGCCCCACCCTCTACTGTGTGATGTCACAATACGGAAGTTTTCCGATGAGGTTCAGTGAAAGTTTCTCTCTGCAACATCTGCGAACAAAACAATCTCTCCCTCTTCCCATTTCTTTTCCCATCCTGGGAGAGAGCGAGACAGAGAAAGATACTGTTCACTTGCAGCAATTAAAGTGAGTGGACTTGAATCCAGGGAAGGAGCATACTCTTCAGCGGTTACTTCAGGTATGTCACTCTTAAATTTACTGTCATTATTTGCACTCTCAGCTTCACACATTTATTTCTCTAGTTAAAAGGGTTGCCTCGTTCCTCATGATCATGATTATAGGATTTCTATCAGAGATGGTCAGGATTTGAGGGGTAGTAAATTAAAAATAATGTATTGTACATGACACAGATGTAGAATCCAATTATATCTGCGTATATGTTTAGAGTGGCCGCCAGGATGAAGATTTTCACGTGTTTGTGTCCTGGATAGCAAGTAGTAAGTCGCTCAGAGATAGTAAGAACTGCAGATGCTGGAGTCAGAGATAACACCGTGTGGAGCTGGAGGAAACGTCAACTTTCTTACTTGTCTGATGCTGCCTGGCCTATTGTGTTCCTCCAGGTCCATACGGTGTTACACAATGGAGAGAGGCCATTCACCTCCTGTACATGTGGGAAGGGTTTCGTTCATTCATCTGCCCTACTGACACGTCAGCTTGTTCACACTGGGGAGAGACTGTTCACCTGCTCCAAGTGTCAGAAGGAATTGAGTTAGTCACGCCACCTGCTGTTATATTATCATGTTCACAGTGGGGAGAGACTGTTCACCTGCTCTGTGAGTGAGAAGGGATTCAGTTAGTCATGCCACTTTCTGTTGCATTATCCTGTTCATATTGGGAAGAGGCTTTTCACCTGCTGTCAGTGTGGAAAAGGTTTCAGTGATCCATACGTGCTGCAGAGACACTAACGGGTTTACCACTGGGGAGAAGCCATTCACTTGCCCAAGTGTTGGAAGGGATTCAGTCATTCAGTCATTCATCTGCCCTGCTCACACATTGGTGAGTTCACAAGTGACTCCAGGTGTTGGATTCTGCTGTTATTGCTGCTGGAAATCACATCTAGGACTGAGCCATGTTCATTCTGACAATGGGTGAAGTGGCAGGGTCAGAGGGTTACTTTCTGCTGGACTTGCCACACTTAACAATTTGGTTCCAGTGAGGCTGGTGTTCCTTGATCCCAGGACTATGCATTCCCACTGAAACAATGACCAAAAGCTGATGGAGCACAGCTACTTTATCCTGGATATGAAATCATGTTCTTTCTCTTTCACTGCAGGTGGATTCTCAGTAAATATCTGCCTCAGTTCTATTGATTCCGCAGCACAAGGCCATGTGTATCAGCTCAATTAGTCCCTGTCAGTGTTTATGTTCCACATGAGCTTCCACCTACCTCTCTTCATTTCTCTCCTCCCTCTACCTACCAGCGTAGCCGTCTGTTCCAGAAGCTGCCAAACAGTGGCGCAGGGTGAGCTGTGCCACTGCATCCACTTGCCCCACTCGAACCTGACTGGTCCAGCCCAATTCCTGTGGTTCACCAAAGGCCACAATTGACATCATCAAGCCTGAAGGAGCAACAGCGAGGTCGGCCCCTGTATGGTCGTGCCTCAAAGAAATGGTGCTGTCAGACTCTGTGTTAATCAGCAACAGGGGAATGGAGCGGGAGTGAGGGAACATCACCCACATTGCACTCTGGACAAATCTTTAAGAATTTGTCAACAAGTGTCGTTTTCTCCAAATTTGACTTAAAACACGGACAGCGGCAGCTGGAGCTTTCTCTTCATTCTTGGACAGTTATAATGTTTGTCCCTCATTGTGGACTTCACTGATTCAAAATTTTGCTGTTTGGTATCAATGCAGCACCAGGTCCATACAGTAATTCAACGGACTCCAGGAACAGCCAGTATCTCAGGTGAATCACTATTCCTGGAGCCAATAGAGAGAAGCATGATGAGGAGTGGAGATTAGCGTTGACTCAAATGTAGTCAGCAGGACTTCCAGTCAGTGCAGGCTGGTTCTTGCTGAATGTAACGGAGCTGACGTTCATGGGGCATAAACCCACGTGCAATGGAATCATTCCAGAAATAGACAAGATCACAGCATCAACAGAGAAACTGAAAACACACAATTGCAGCGAAGTGAGAGGCTTTCTGAAAGTCATGAACTATTCTACGAGGAATTTCCGAAACATTTTCCCCCACATGATCCCTTGAGGAAATTAAATAGATCTGATACAAATTCAGATTTGGTGAAGGATGGAAAGCTGCCGTGAAACTTTTGAAAGATCCACAAGAAATGCTCAAACCCTAGGATGCTATTATCCAAATGCATGTCAGAGCAGTGAATGTCAGAGCAGATGCCTGTCCGATCAGATTAGGAGCAGCGGTGGCGTAAATGCAAGATTATTTCTGTGAGAGCAGATCTCTGACAGATGTAGAAAAGGGAGATTCTCAATTAGAGAAAGAGTCACCAGAATTTGTGGCATATGAAAAATTCCATGTAGACTTGTTCAGTATTGCATTTGACTTAGAGACGGACCACAAGTCATTAAGAATAATTCACTCTCCCAGATCTGAACCTTGTGCCAGAATTGAAAGATGGTGTTTGGAGACTCTGGGAGTCTTGGGACAAAGTGGCTCACATTGCTGGAAAGATGGACATCACTGACCCGCTGTCCCCATGACAGAGTGAGGGTCAAACACACAGATCTTCACCGGAGAAGGAAGCTGAATCATTGGTGCTGTTTGTCGTGGTTCGTGCTGCACCCAGAACAATGACAATGAGAAAAATTGACAGACAGTCAGACAAAGATCCAGAACTGGATGCCATCAGATGGGTATTCTGAGCTGGAAACCTGGAAAATTGCCCATTGAGGGTGGACATGGCTGTACAAGATGAACTGTGCATGACTGGGAAATGTGTTCTCAGAGGCAACAGACTCTGGAGAGACACAAAGGCTTTGGTCTAGACTGCAGGTAGAAACACAGGAGGATCCCTTGGGGCTAGTTGGTGCTCAGCAAAACTTACGTAGTGGAGTCTGGTGACGAGGGATGGAGAGCAACGTGGAGCAGTTTGTGGAAATCTGTTGTGGATATCACCCTGTCAGCATCCCCACTGCACCAGAGCCAGTTCTCAGCACACTGTTACCGGCTGGACCATGGGAGGACATTTCACAGTTGTCCTCTGGTGATTAATGGCAGATTTTGAAGGGAAGAATGACAGAACCTGAAGACAGACAACTATTGATACTATCAGTACACATGGAGAGTTTGACGATCAGCAATTTAGTGAGATCAGTGTTGATGGAGCAGACGGTGGGTCTCATGTACATGGCGAGATTTGAGAAAGAATGAGAGGAGCTAGGAAGGAAACAGAGGGCTTGGGCAAATGGTCAATGTTCAGGTGGAAGGAAGGGAAGCAGCAGAGACTTTTCTCCTTCAACAGAAGTTCAAGACCTTCCCTTTCCATGTCCTAACAGAATCTTGTCATGCTTTGGCTGGCAAACTATTTAATTTAGCTTAATTGGTCTTTATTTTTGTGCATAATTATCCCTGATAATGGAACAATAAACAGTTGAATCCCTTTCCTTAATTTGGTTTTGAACATAAATCTCAACTAAATTTATTGCTAAAGATTATTATTATGGTTACCTTAAATGATTTGGATGTGGACCTAGGAGATATGGTTAGTAAGTTTGCAGATGGCACCAAAATTGGAGGTGTAATGAACAGTGAAGAGGGTTACTTCAGAGTACAATGAGACGTTGATCAGATGGGCCAATGGACTGAGGAATGGCAGATGGGGTTTAATTCACATAAATGTGAGGTGCTGCAGTTTGGAAAGGCAAATCAGAGCAGGACTTATACACTTAATGGTAAGTTCCTGGGGAGTGTTGCTGAACAAACAGACCTTGGAGTGCAGGTTCATATTTCCTTGAAAGTGGAGTTGCAGGTAGATAGGATAGTGAAGAAGGCATTTGGTATACTTGCCTTTATTGGTCAGTGCATTGAGTATATGAATTGGGAGGTCATTTTGAAGCTGTACAGGACGTTGGTTAGGTCACTTTTGGAACACTGCATGCAATTTTGGTCCCCCTGCTAATAAGAAGGATGCTGTGAAACTTGAATGGGTTCAGAAAAGGTTTACAAGGATGCTGCCAAGGTTGGACGGTTTAGCTATAGCGAGAATCTGAACTGGCTGGGGCTATTTTCCCTGGAGTGTCGGAGACTGAGCGGTGACCTTATAAAGGTTGATAAAATCATGAGGGGCATGGATAGGGTAAATAGACAAAGTCTTTTCCCCAGGGTGGGGGAGTCCAAATCTAGAGGGCATATGTTTAAGGTGAGAGGGGAAACATTTAAAGGGGACCTAAGGTGCAACTTTTTCATGCAGAGGGTGGTGCGTGTATGAAATAAACTGCCAGAGGAAGTGGTGGAGGCTGGTAGAAATACAACATTTAAAAGGCATTTGAATGGGTAAAGGAATAGGAACGGTTTAGAGGGATATTGGCCAAATGCTGGCAAATGGGACTAGGTTTATTTAGGATAACTGGTCGGCATGGATGAGTTGGACCAAAGGGTCTGTTTCTGTGCTGTATATCTGTATGCCTGTAAAGTCCATTCTTTGCAGCTATTTTATGTTATCAAATTCTAACAACTGATTTTTGTAAGGATGTTCTAGATTAGTCCTTATCATAAAACACTTTGTACAAATATATCTGATATAAACCTATGTAAGTTTAAATTCAACCTTTTTTTCTACTGAATTAATGAACTTTGTAATATTTTAAATATATGTACAGAGTTTATTGACATTTTCCCTGTTTTTCCCTAGTATCCAATTGTATTGCTACGGTTACTGGCAGACTTATCTTTTATTATTAGTACATTGTGGCCCTGATACATAGCTTCCGGAAAAATTGGAATTAAATCAAGATTCTTACTGTCATGAAATCATGTATTACATCTAAAAAGACTTCCTTTAGATGTTTAGCTTTAATAATTCCTCTGTCCAAGATTACCTACGATGTAAAGTCTGTTGCTGTTTGTTTGAAACTGTTGAATCCTGTGGCTAATTCACGTTGCAAGTCTTCTGAATCTTACACACAGGGAACTTTAAAAATAACAGTATCCAGTCGTTAGCCAGATCATTTGGGGGAGGTTGCAGCATAGTGATAATGTCACTGTGCTCATAATCCAAAGCCCCAGGTTAGTGTTCTAGGATCATGAGTTCAATTTCCACCTCTGCAGGTGGCAAAATTGTGTAAAACCCATCAGATTCATGAAAAGAAATCTGCTGTTCTTACATGGTTTGGGCTACAAATGACTTCAGACCCACTCTTAACTGTCCCTCTCAGCAATTAGGGATGGGCAATAACATCCCGCACATCCTGTGAATGGATAATAAAGAGCATAAATTTGGCATTCTGATTGGAGCAGACAATCGAGAGGGTAGGAGTCTATGATGTCAGATTATCATAAATTTGTTGGTAATTGTTTCTGCTGCAAGAAGTGGGTAATGGTTGTAATCCTCCCATGAAAGTGCATCCTGATCTATTATCACTGTTTGAATCATTTGTCATTTAACTGCCCAGTGTGAGTTTTGCAATGTTGTCTTTTGTCATGTTACATTCTTCCTCAGTTTAGATGCACAGCTTGTTCTCAACTGCACACTTCAATATTGAGTTACTTGTTCCCAAATCTAAATATTCAAAGACAGATGTTGCTGGAAACTGCTTAGTACACCAGGAAGCAAGTGTGGAGGGAGAGAGAGAGAGAGACACTGTTTCAGGTCTGTAAGCTTTCATCGGATCTGGGGAGTATCAAGTGTTGAATAGGCCTCGAGTAAGGTGCCCGTGGGACAATGACAAAAGGAAGGTCTGCGAAAGATTGGAAGACAGGAGAGATTCAGGGACATTAGTCCCTTAGAAAAGATGTGCTAGGAGCAGATGTGCTACTGACTGAAAGAAACAAAATGGGGAGAGTGTTTCATTGCTGAAATTATTGAACTCTGCTGCGTCTAGAAGGGTATAAAGTGTGGAGGAAGGAAGCTGGGTAAGTCAGAGGATTGTCACCTCTATCCACTGTTGGTCCTGGTTCAAACAGCAAATTGTAGATCAGAATGGGTGGGCCCAAGGAGGAGGTGATCACCGCCTCTCAGCGTCTCTTCCCTGGCCATGTCTGCACATGGGTAACCTTGGATACGGAGCTTTCTGGGGAACCATTTGCTGATTGCGGCTGCTATTAGTTTGATTTTGTTCGAATATTTGGGGAAACAGGAGGAAAGAATGTTTCACCAAAAAAAATACTCCGATTGTCATTTGTTCATTTCTGTGGCTTGCTGCTTGTGATCTTCACATTGTCATTTTTTTTCATAGGTATTCGATGGAGATAATGTACAGACTTGAAATAAACAACATATCAATATCTGAGAGAATGACTCTTTTGTGCTTGGAAAAATCATGAGCCTTTGACTGTCGAGGGAGAAATGCTCTGTCTGTGGAAAATGATTATTTGAAAATTTCGATAGTTCAGATTAACTGATCAGAGTGTGAGAATGTGGAACGATGGAGTATCTAACTGCCAAACTGGAAAGAACAGACAGTCCCACGGGAGTGGAGGGAAGAATGGGTGACAGAAAATGTATCAAGCAAAGCTAAAAGAAAGGGAAGGAATGGCTTCACGATTTGATGGTGTTGAACTCAACATTAAGTCCAGAAGAGACTGTTCCCTCTGGGACTTGATCTGAACTGTCAACGTCCTTTCTCCCTCAGCACACCAACCCCTCGAACTGCAGCCCACCCACTCCTCCACAGAGATAATAAGGTGTAGAGCTGGATAAACGCAGCAGGCCAAGCAGCATCAGAGGAGCAGGAAGGCTGACGTTTCAGGCCTAGACCCTTCTTCAGAAATCCAGCTCTGTTGAAGAGTTATCTAGACTCGATCCGTTGGTTTGCTTTCGTTCAATGGATGCTGACTGACCTGCTGTGATCTCAACAATCTCCATTTGTGTTTTCAGTATGGATTTTAGCATTTGCAGTAATTTGCTCCTACTCTAAGTCTTTATGACTGATACCAGAAAACATTTTGGCTAAACAGGGTGTCTCAGTAAAATCAGTGATGGCCCACATGTCCTGTGTGTCTGGATGGGGATCCTGTTCCCACCACCCTCTGCCCAACTCTTTTCATCGACCTTCAAGAGACAGTGTTCCAGTGGCTTCATGGGGACTACAACTCCCACAATCCCTGTCGCCGCGGGTCATGTGGCAGGTTCTACGTGGATGGGAAACTGGGATTCGCACGTGTTCAGGGTTGAATTTGGGGCGGGAACATCTCTCGTTACATGATTGGTTTGTGATCACAGCACCCTCTTTTTCTATTGGCAGAAGGTTTCAACCGTCATGTGGTCAAGGCAGCTGCTTCCCCACGCGAATCCATGTTCCTTTCCAATTCCGTCATAATTCTGTAATATGACCAATCGAAAGAGCTGGAGGACCGGAAGCAAGCTTGATCTCCAGCCAATCACTTCCCCTGTTGTCTGAGCGCGAACGCGGGACAATCCAGTAAAGTTGCTGCTGCTCTTCTGTGAATGAAGATTGAGCTTCACCCAGACTGAAACTTCCTCCTCTGTCCATCATCTGTGAGGAAACAATTTTTCCCAATTTTTTTTTTTTAAATTCTGATGTGAAATTATTTACTTGCAGCAACTGACAGGAAATGAAGTGAACCCAGGGAGGGAGTCCAGGAAAAGAAATGATGATCACTTAGATTTGGCTGTTCTGAATTTTTCACCGAATTTCTAGTCTAATAGTGATGAAATTTTATAACTCTTTTTACGTTATGTTAAAAAGGGAAGATTTAAACAGCAATCTCAAAATGATCATCACGTGACGTCACTAAAATAGCTGGTACTTGAATATCATTGGCTTGAAACAATAGATCCAGAATATCTGTCCTGGCTGCTTCAAAATATTTGAAACATCAGTTTGTCTGGAAAAGTACTGACACATGCACACCTAAGTGAGAGTTCTCTAGTGAACTGATATACCTTCATCCAATCTCCCAGCCTAAAAGAACATTGCACCGTTCACAGTAGGAAGAGACCATACCTGTGTTTCTGGGTGGACAAGGATTCAGATGATTGTAAAACTTACAGGGACACAAAGCCGCACATAACATGGAGAAACCATGGAAATGTGAGGATTGTGGGAAAGGATTTCATTCCTTGTCGACGCTGGAGTTTCATCAACATGGTCACAGCAGGGAGAGGTTGTTCACCTGTTCTGAGTATGGGAACGGATTCCCTGATTCATCTGCTCTGCAGAAACACCAGCGTGCTGCCACTGGAGAGAGGCTATTCACCTGTTCATTGTGTAGGAAGGAATTCCATGAATATTTCACCCTGTTGAAACATCAGCGAGTTCACGCAGGGAAGAGGCCATCTACGTGTTTGGAGTTTGGGAAAGTATTCACTCAGTTATCCAATCTTAGTGCAAAACAGCAAGTTCACATTGCAGAGAGGCCATTTATATGCTCTGATTGTGGAAAAGAATTCGCTGAGACGTCAGCGAATCCCACACGGGTGAGGCCATTCAAATGTTCCAAGTGTGGGAAGCGGTTCAGAGATTCATCTACGCTGCAGAAACACCACTAGGTTCATACTGGGGAGAAGCCCTTCATCTGTTCTGAATTCTTTCCCACATTCACTCGGTTATCCAGTCTGTGGAAGAATAAGAACGTTCACAAATGATCGTAGGACTTGGATCTGCAGTTAATCTGCAACATTTGAGCTGCTAGACAGCACGTTTCAAACCCACAATGTTCACCACCTAGAATAACTAGTGCAGCAGTTACATGGGACCATTACAACCTGCATGCTCCCCTCCATATCACACATCATTCTCATTAACAGGATGTTAGAAAGGGAAGATTTGCAGACAGAAATCTCAAAATGACCATCACGTGAAGCTGTAATGGAGTCACTGAAATCACTGGGATTTGAATATCATGCTCCTCCACATTGGCTGTTCTTTCACTGTCAATGAGTCAAAATCCTGGAACTCTACCCTAACAGCATTGTGGGTGATCCTACAACACAAGGACTGCAAGTCCCAGAAAGCAACTCACCACCACTTTCTGAAGGAGGATGACTGGGATGGGCAACAAGTGCTGACCTAGACATTGATACCTGTACATCATAAATTGATTTTAAAAATGAGGGAAATCACATCCAGGACAGAGCTGTATTCATTTGGACAGTGGGTGAAGTGGGAGGGCCGGAAGGTTTCCATCTGCTGGACTAGCCGCTCTCACCACTTTGCTTCCAGTGAGGATGATGCTCTTTGAGCCTGGGACTGCACATTTACTCTGAAACTACCCCTAAAACCTGTTGAAGTACATTTACTTTATCCTGAATTGTAAGTAACGTTTACCTTACTCCTCCAATTAGACCAAAAATAAATGTTTGTCTTTATTCCATCGACTGTGTAGTCCAGTGCCAGGCCAGTCACCTCAATTGGTCTGTGTCAATATTTATGCTCCAAGTGAGTCCGCACCCTCCCCTCTTCTTCTCCCCCAACAGCAGATCCTGCTGTACCTTTCCTCTTCGTGTATCTATCCAACTTCTCCTGAAATATATTGCTGTTGTTCACCTCAACCATTCATTGTGGAAATTAAGTTTTGATTTGCATCTGTCACTGGGTAAAGAGGTTTCTCATGAAATCCCTTTTGGTTTATTGAAGCCCTTCTTTATTTCAAAGACTTCCATCAGGTCACTCTTCAGCTTTCTCTTTTCTAGAGAAAAGCTCCTCAGCCATTCCTGAGGGTTATATGTTCTCAGTTTTGATAATACCTTTGTGAATCCATGTAATACTTTTTTCCAGTGCTTTTGTTTCCTTCCTCTAAATGGAGATGATAAATGTTGACTGTGCTCAGTGGAGTCAAACTTTGCTATGAAATCACTGAAACTTCGTTTTCCTCCTTTTCAGCTTTATAGCTGTAGAAAGGACCCCCAATATGGGCCAGGACTTTGCAGAATGAAGTTAAGTTCCATGAGATATCTGAGACAGGAATTAGGGGTATGTCATCAGGGATTCGCGCCTTCAGTTGGTTGGAGAGACTGGAGCAGATGACCCTGTTCTCCTGAGATCATAGATTCACTGTGGCAGAACGGAGACAGAGGCTATTCGGCCCTCTGAGGTCATGCTGGCTCTGTATGGAAAAAGTGTCAGTCCTTGTTCTATCCCAATAACTCTGCAGATTGATATCTGTCAAGGACCCTCCAACTTTGAAAAAAAGTAATGAATATACTGTTCAGGATGAGAAATGAACTAGAATAACTCATTTCAGATGTAATTCAGGAGAACCTTCCAATCTAGTATCCACCTATATTCTAGTTAAAGTCTGGGAAATTGAGTCAGTGGCGTGAGTTTTGAATTCTGTTCCTCTAGAGAGAATCTGATATCTTTGTGGCTGCAGCTTTCCCCAGATTTTATTTTTGAAACAAAAACAGTGAAATTGTTTCAGAGTCGAGGGTTTTTTTTTTGAGCCATAACCCACAATTTCACGTCTTCAGAGCTAAACTGTGATCCTCCCAAGTCCAAAAATGTGTAAGTTGGGTGGATTGGCCGCGCTAAATTGCCCCCTAGTGTGCAGGTTAGGTGGTTGGGTTAGTCATGGCAAATGGGGGGTAGTGGGAGTAGGTTGGGATAGACGGTCAGTGCAGACTCGATGGGCCGAAAGACCTCTTTCTACACTGCAGGTATTTGGTGATTTTAACCAGTTGTGATCGTGGTCACATTTTCCTCATGTCAGCCCACACATAACTAGGTTCATTCAGCTCAGGTCTTCATGGTGCCTTTGTGTTTTTGTGGGTTCGTACTCAGAATTCTTTTGGTTTACACAGTATATTTGGGGATGAGAATGAATTTGAATTTGTAAATACAAATTTTCCAACGAAAATCCCTTGCAGATTAGGAACTGTTTCTGCTGGTGGCGTCACTTACAAGGATCAGGAAAACAAAGGTTCAGTCACAAATCTGAGATCAGTAATTGCCAGGAAAGACTGAACAGCTTAAAACTTTTTTCTCAAGAAAACAGGAGGCTGAGAGTTAACCTGATACAAATTGGAAGCTTTGTCTCTGTGAAATGAAATCATTGGATCTTAAAGAAAGAATGGGAACCAGTTCTGAGGATGAGTGAGTCAACCCAAAACATTAACTCTGATTTCTCTCCACAGACGGTGCCAGACCTGCTGAGTTTTTCCAGCAATTTCTGTTTTTGTTTCTGATATACAGCTTCCACAGTTCTTTTGGTTTCTATTAATTGAATCTGAAGCATTTTTCATTGCCCGGAGTTAATCAAAGGCACTGTCTAAGTGTGCATCTTTCTGTCTGTCTATCTGAGTTAAGAATCAGATGGAGGGGTCACTGACTTATCTTCACAAATCCGCAATTGAATCTGCCTCCCCCACACTCTCAGACCCCTCACCACTCGCTGGGTCATGGAGAAGCTCTGTTGTTAGAATGGGAGCTTTCTTTGATGTGGCCTCTCCTTATGCTTCTGCCCCCTTCCCATTTCCCTGCATTAATTCCAGCTGCCTTTAGTCTGCCCAAACGGGGTTGTTGAAGAGCTTGAGAGGAGAGCGGACTGAAACTAAGAAAGTAAAGAATCAGAATGAAAGCGGAAGAGAAAAAACAAACAGGTTTTGTGGATCTCAGGGGAATGAGACTCCAGGATCTGTCTGTTCTGACTGTTCACACAGTAACAAGAGACACCATTCTCTGATGAAACTCAAACCCAGGCAGCAGGAGATGGGAGCACTGAATATTAACAGATTTAGTTCAAACACAGGAGATTTGTTTAGCCAGTAATAGCATGTAGTGTAATAGTCATGGATGTGAAGTGAGTAGTGAGGGGAAGTATTGCCAAAAGCTGCAGTTGGAAAACTTTATAGGAACAGGAGTAGACCATTCACTCCCCGCAAGCCTGTTCTTTTAAATCAAATCTGTTATTTATTGCCTGATCTGTGGCCTAACTTTCAATTTCCAAAACCCACCAAGCCTATCAATGAGGATCTTCTGAAACAGACAAGATGAATACCGATAAACCTAAAAAAACTGCAGATTCAAGGAAATCAGAAAGAAAAACAGTAATTGCTGGAAAAATTCAGCAGGTCTGGCAGCATCTATGGAGAGAAATCAGAGTTAAAAATTCAGGTCCAGTGACCCTTTGAATAACCAGATGCAGCTGACCATTCCCTCTTTTCTGTAACAGTCTCTGGAACAGGTTATGGTGCGAGGGCCATCAGATCGTCAATAACAACTGAGAAAACAGCAGGACATGCTCAATCAGAATAAAACCCATTTTGGTCCTTCACTTATAAATCAACTGTAACAATTTATTCATTACCATTTCAGAAACCAGGTAAGAGACCAGAAAATCAACTCTTTGTACCATTGGGTCTGAGAACCATTGTTGATTCTGACCTGGTCTGGCCTACATGTGAATCCATACGAGAACAACGATCTAGATTCTTAACCATCCTCTAGGCAGTTAGCATGGATGATAAGTGCTTGCTGAGCTCTTGATGCCATGTACCCATGAACAAACAAAACAAAAATCAATTACTGCAGTTACTTGTGAACCGCTGGTGTTTCATCAAGCTAAATGACTGGGTGATTTTTTGTTTCCCACACTCCGAGCAGTTGAACGGCCGCTCCCCAGTGTGTATTTGCTGATGTAGACTGAGGGTTGATGATGTCCTGAACCCAATCCCACAGTGAGCATACCTGGACAGTCTCTCTTCAGTGTGATCACGTTGATGGCACATCAGTTCATTTGACCTTTCACAGCACTTCCCACAATGTGCACATGTAAAGGATCTCACTTCAGCTCTCAGACTGAACCTGTTGGTGCTTCAACAGGCTGGATGACCGGGAGAAATCCTTCCCACACCTGGAGCAGGTGAATGGTCTCTCCCCAGTGTGGACCCATTGGTGTGTCAGCAGGTGGGATGACTGAATGATTTCTTTGCCTCACTCACAGCAGGGAAACAGCCCCTTTCCAGTGTGAAACCGCTGTGAATGCCTTCTCACACACGAAGCAGGTGAACAGTTTCTTCCTGGTGTGATTGCACCGATGTGTTTGCAGCTTGGATGGGTAATTGAAACTCCTTTCCCAGTGCCCACAGATCCACAGTTTCTTATCAGTCTGGCACTGTTTTAATTTCCAAAAGTCAGATGGTCGCTTGAAGCCTTGTCCACAGACAAAACCTGTGCACAACTTCTCTTCACTGTGAATCGTGCATCCACTTTCCATATTCAAAATCTGATGATATTCAGCTTACATTAAAAAGAAGCAATTCTGTCAGATCCTGTCTCTTGACTGCGCATCCTTAAATTCCAAAACAATGTGGAATTGACCAGAAACGAAAGAAAAGGAGCATAAGATGATACACAAAAAGAAAGGCAGCTTGTGAAATTAAGGTGAACAATCTGGTAATTAATGGGGCTGACACAGTGGAATGTGATGATAAAAACTGCTGTCTAATTCACTAATTCACTTATATTCATTAGGGATGGAAATCTGTCATCCAATCAGGACCTACGGAAGACTCTGACCTCAATGGGAAGAAAGAGAGCTCAGTGCAGTGTCTAAGAACGGCTTTCAGTGGGAGACCCTGTAGCCTCTGTGTAGCTACCTAAAAGGGTTCCTTCCTTGCTCTTTTGTTCAGAGCAATTAAATAAGAGCCTGCTTTAAGGGATTGTGCAAACTGGCTGCTTGCTAGCTTCTGTGACACAATTGGTCAGCGCTTTTAGCACGTAAGTGCCAGGTTGGTGGTTCAAGGCCACAAAGGCAGGAGCAAGCGCTGTTCTCACTCTACTAGTATCATTTTTGCGATACAGTTCCGGGTTTTTAATGTGGTCAGGAAAATGCTCCCCAAACAGAAATCTTATCCAGTGAGTAACCACAAATGTGTTTCAATGTTGTTAAAATGGTTAACGTAAAGAGCCACAATAACAATCAGTTCTGAGGAAGGGTCACCGGACCTGAAACGTTAACTCTGTTTTCTGCTCCACAGATGCTGCCAGACCTGCTGAGCTTTTCCAGCAACTTTGTTTTCGTTATAACAGATCGGAGCTTGTGTTTTAGTTTAATTATTAGAGGGGTTTGGCCATTCTCTGTCGTAACACTTTATCAGTTGTCTTTAGTGAGGGATGTCTGCTGGGCGCTGTCCTGTCAGATTCCCAGGAGCTGCAGTGATTGGGTCAGTGAGTTTTCGAAATTGAAGGTTGAATGTGAGCAACTTGTGGGACTATTTCAGCTCATTGTCCATTTCATATCCCAGCTCATGGTAACAGTTCTCATGGTCTGGAGAAGTCACTTGTGATCCACCTAAAGCTGCCTTTTGTCGGATAAACTTGTGTGTGCAGATGGACAGCGGACGTGAGTCACATGGAGTGGGTACAATCCCAA